TAAATCGAAGTGGCCCCGGGTTCGATTCCCGGGGCCAGCGAAGAAAAATCTTTCCACCGGGAAAGATTTTCGTAGCCACTGACCGCTATCCCTCCGGATGGGGATAGGCGTTTGGTGTGTGAGCTTTTTGTGTTATTTTTTTTTCTTCGTTGTATTGATTAGATTAGCCCTTTTATTTTATTTTTTAATCTGCTCTCTCCTCTGGTGCCCGGGGACCTTAACTTGCAACGACCAACGAGACCCACGTGCTATCAAGTCCCTTCAGAACTAGTTTCATTATCATCCGGGCGAGATTCTAAGCCGTCTAAGATCCAACAGTAACGTCAATCACGATCATATATTCAACACCACTCTTTCGAAACAACGCAAGTATATACCCCCTCGCCGTCTACCCCCTCCGACCAAAACATATCCCCAGCATATCCTTCACAAACCCCGTCCAACCATTAACCTCCCTCATCACATTCACAATAGCCAAAAACCTCCACACCCACGACTCCACCCGCTCATAATCATGCCCATACACCTCCCACACCGCTTGCTTCCTCTCACCCTCCACCCCGGTTCCCTCAACAACCCTCACGCCAGGCCCTCCCCATCCCCATTCCTTCCCCGTATGACCCTGACCCGCCTCCCCCTCCACCCCCTCATCCACAACCCCCATCTTCGGCCCAATACACAACGCCCTGCCCTTAACCCCCTCATCGGCCATCAACCGCGTCGCAGCATCCACCACATCCTCCAAGTCCGCCTTGGCCGCCCCGGCCAACAACAACTTGCCAGCCGCTGGGATGATCGGGGTCTCGACGAAATAGGGGGTCAAAGCGTTGACACGCACCCCGTTGCGGGACCAGGCGGTCCCGCGTATGGAGCGAAAGAGACCCATCACGGCGTGCTTGGAGGTCGTGTATTCCGTCTGGCCGGGTAGCGGGCTGAGGCCGGCGATGGAGGAGATGAGGAGGATGTGGCGGTCGTGGTCTTTTTGGGACTGAGAAGAGGAGGAGGAGGGCGTAGACTTGCGGGACAGGTAGTGCAATGCGAGGTGGGTGGTGTACATCACGCCGGTTAAATTGACGGCGAGGACACGGAGGGGAGGTGGAGGTGGGGGTTGGGCCGGGTCGGCGGCGTCAAAGTCCCGTGGTTCATCAAAGACGGATCCGGCGGGACCGGTACTGTTCTCGACGATACCGGCCCCGGCTACGACGGCTTGGAGGGACCGGGTTGGGGAGGCTGAGATGGCAGTTTTGAACAGGGCGAGCTGGTCTGTCCAGGAGGTCACGTCACAGTGCTGGTAGACGAAGACCTGGTTAGGGGTTGACCCCGTTGATGATGAAGAGCGCAGTTCTGCGATGAGGGCCTCCCCGGCTTGGTCGTTGACGTCGCCGATGATAAGGTGGGCGCCGTAGCGAGCCCAGTGACGGGCAAAGGCGGCGCCGAAACCCGATGCGCCGCCGGTGATGAGGATGGTCTTGCCGGCGAGAGTGGAAGTGTCGTAGGGCTTGGAACAGTCAACGGGAGCCGACTGGCCGATCATGTTGACGACGCCCCAGGGGTCGTCTTTGGGAGGCGTAATTGTGGCATCCATGTCGTTGAGTTTGTTTGTTGACTTGACCCCTGTTTAGCTTGTTAGTCTCGGTCCTCGAGGCCCCTTCACTCGGCTTTGGGAGGAGATGTGCTCTGTGGGAATCACATCGGTGCAGACCGAAGGTGTTTGACCCCCATTTTGAGCCACATTGTTTGTCGTGGTGGACCTGTATCAGGCCAGGGATTGGCCGCGGGATGCAGCACAAGCGTGGGAAGCTCACCGTGACAGGTATCCAGATTTCCCAAGTTTGAACGGGGAGCGCGAGAGACCAAAAACAGATGCGAAACTTTCAAACTATAGAATGAAGAAGGCAGAATATACACTTTATAAACTGTCAACCCCGATACATGGCTGGCTAGAAGTGCCTACAACAGACGAACAGATTTACGAGGGGACAAATAGAAAGATAGATGAGGAAGAAAACATAGCCAGCATCTCCCAGTCTTGCGGGCGTTGTGTTGAAAGATACAGTAATCATGACCCTTGTCCGCCTAGCAGGCTAATGCGAAGCGACGTGGACAGGGGGCCATTTGGGCGTCAACCGCATCAGGAGCCAATCTCGCAGAGTCTCGGCGTCGTCGCCGTCTTTCGTAAGCAAATGCGGCGCGTTACATTTTATTTTCGATGAGGCGGCTCCTCTAGAAAAAACCCCTGTCCGATGTGGATGTAGATAGCTGCCTTCTACACAGTCAGTCGGTAATGGAACTTTCCACGTCGGCGATGCCTCCATGTTGAACGAAGCGGTGGAACCACGTGGGCCGGAAATAAACGGCTCCTTGCTCTGTGACTTCCGTCATGCTAAAATATTTTTCGATATCAGCACTTTCTTGTTTCACCATGTTCCGGTGACAGGGCAGCGCGGTGGTCTGCTGTAGTCGCGGCATACCTCCGTCCACAGGAGTGAAAAGACCGACAACCGTAAGTAGCGCTATCCACTCCCACCGGGTTCTTGGCCAACCTCGAAGAGGGATCGAAGAAGCGGTAGGATAGGATCAGCCCATGGTTTTTGGCACGGGACCAGTATCCAGATTGGGTTAAGAAATGAGCTCGGTCTGTCGCAAGAAAAATCGTATTGGAGCCCCGGCCCGAGCGATGAGGTTCGGTGAAAAAGATGTCTCAGCCATGGCCGGCTCTCCACGCGGGAGAAACATGGGAAACGGCCATTTTGGGATGTTCTGCACAAGGCCCTGCCTGAGGTCGCGTGGGGTCGGTGTCGGAATAAGGCCAAGATGACACTAAGAAATGCAGAAAATAGCTCTCTAGAAATTTCTCAATGGAGTGTTGCGGTTCGAAGCTTGAGCCACTCTTTGATCCTTCCTTAAGTTTGGGGCTAGGTCCCGGGTCCCCGACTCTACGTGGTTAGAGATTTAGAGAAGCAGGAACGACGGGAGGTAGTATGAACCTGAAAGGCAGCGACGAAACTGTGTCCTCACGTCCTTTCCTCTTCCTTTCCAACAGTATGTTGTTTTGTAAGTTCGGAAGTCGAGGATTTCTAGAACGTTTATGACAATCTGCATTCCTTGACAACAGTACTGTTGCTCACTTCGACCCGACCCTCTGGTTGCTCTCCCAGCAAGAGTGGGTCACCCGCCATCCCAAGGTCACAGGCTCGCTGTGGCCAAAAAAAGCGGCACACTCAAACAGATAGCTCAAGTCCAATCCATTAACATTCGATCAAATCTTGGTAAATTTTGATTGATTTACTCGTCTTTGTCTTTTTTCACTCTCTAGATTATTCTTTTTTGTCTTCTTTCATTGTTTTTGGTTTCTTCTTTTTGTCTTTTTTCACTTTTGTAGCAAAGTAAGTTATCCAGGGACTTGGTCTGCCGCTTTTTTTGGCCATAGCGAGCCAGGGCAGGGGCCAGGCCCATTGGAGACAACCCCACGGCCCCCACCACTTCCCAGCTCCGATGGCGGGGCACCGTAGCGGGGCATGGGCAAGAGAGGTAAAAGAAAAAGTTCCAACACCGAGGGCCAGATCGGGAAGACTGACTCACCTGTGAATAGAAGATATCTGTTTATATATATCTGCTTCACCTCCCTCTTTAGCGTTGGGAGCTCGTTGATAGTCCTATTACACCGGCACAGAGACACCGACCTAGCATCAATTTGATCGATACTCCCGAGTCCGAGCAAACGATCTAGACAGAAAACCAGACATACATAAACGTGAATTGGTAGACTATTAACAATACCAACAATGTCTCAATTACCCACCAAGAACTGCGGTATGGTCCCGACACAAGTTTCTCTCGCTTCCCTTTCTCCATGCCCTTTACCCCGAATGTCTTGTCGCCTGAAACTTGACGATGAACTAGCTGATCGGCTGACACTCGTCTTCTCCCTCCCACCCTGTAGGCGTCCTAGGCTGCACCGGCTCTGTCGGCCAGCGCTTCATCCTGCTGCTCCAACAACACCCAACGCTTCGCCTCGTCGCCGTGGGCGCGTCGGCACGGTCTGCCGGGAAGAAATACCGCGATGCAGTGCGCTGGAAGCAGGCGAGCCCCATCTCGCCCGAGATCGGCGAGCTTGTGGTGCGCGAGTGCAAAGCGAGCGAGTTCACCGACTGCGACATCGTCTTCAGCGGCCTCGATAGCGATGTGGCCGGCGAGATCGAGAAGGAGTTCCAGCACGCCAACCGCGCCGTCTTCTCCAACGCGAAAAACTACCGTCGCGATCCGCTCGTACCTCTCGTCGTGCCCACAGTCAACCTCAACCACCTCGATCTGATTCCGCACCAGAGGCGCACCCAAGGGCTCGAGAAGGGGTTCCTGGTGTGCAACAGCAACTGCGCCGTCATCGGACTCGTCATCCCCTTTGCGGCGCTGCAGGCGCGGTTCGGCCGCATCGACACCGTCTCGGTCGTCACCATGCAAGCCGTGTCGGGCGCGGGCTATCCCGGCGTGAGCAGCATGGACATGATTGACAACGTGGTGCCGTTCATCCAAGGCGAGGAAGACAAGCTGGAGACGGAGGCGCAAAAGATCTTGGGCGCGCTCAACGCCGATGCCACCGCCTTTGAGGACCAGGCCACGCTGCGCGTGTCGGCCGCATGCAACCGCGTCCCCGTGCTCGACGGTCACACCGCATGTGTGTCGCTGCGCTTCACCCAACGCCCGCCGCCAACGGCCGAACAGGTCAAGCAGGCCATGCGCGAATACGTCTCTGAGGCGCAGCGCTTGGGCTGCCCTTCTGCTCCGAACCCCCCCATCAAGGTCTTTGACGAGGCCGACCGGCCCCAACCGCGTCTCGACCGTGACTTGTCCAAGGGGTACACCGTCTCTGTTGGGCGTGTTCGCGAGGACGAGAGCGGCATCTTTGACATTAAGTTTGTTGCTCTGAGCCACAACAGTGAGTTTTCTACCCCGGCCTTCGTGTCCCCTTACCCCTTACTAACAGGCTTTCTTCTTTCTCTCTCCAGCCGTTATCGGTGCAGCCGGCTCATCTATCCTCAACGCGGAGGCCGCCGTTCTCAAAGGCTATATTTAAATTTGACAATATGTGGCGGATATGGATGATCATGTTGAAAATGCATTGGGCGACGGAGTTGTTGTGCACAAGAAAAAACAAAACATTGGTAAATTTGCGTTGTTTTTTGGTTACACTACCCTAGTGGTAGTTTCGATTCCCCCAAAAGTACATAGATTCTACAATTTCACTTCTCCCGATTTCTTCTCGTGTCTCTCTCTCACTGACTCCATTGATCGATCATGTGGGTAAGGGATGAAAACATCCGCTCCATGCCACGCACGTAGCCGGTGTGTTGCCCCTGTCCCCCTTACACAGGCCCACAGCGAACAGCATACAGCATAAGGCAGGTAGGTAGCCCCCTTTTAACGGGTTACAAATGTTACATTACCCCCCCTTCCCCCTCTCACACCGATACTACATAGTACATCGATAGTGTTGCTCACCGGCGAATATCTCATGCACATGGCCTTTGCGGGTGAGATGTGAGATGTAAGATGGGGGCGGGTGTACAGTACAGTAGCTTTTTGCCAGCTCAGGGGTGTTCGGCTCACATCCGTGAAACATAATTACTCCTAGTGCATGTTCATAATTAGACTGCGGGCAATGCTCTCGGCCGGAGACTCCTCAGGTTGTAGTTGATAGTGTTGCGTGTGGCGTATAAGTACCAATCATATCTCCCTTTGGTCTGTAGCAGACCTAGACGGTGGGCATCAAATTTACTTGAGTCAGCCAACTAACTAGTCGACCCGGTGTGTACGGCCTGGCCTGTCCCCTGTATCCCTCCATGTACATGTATGTACCACCCAACCACCACCCAACCACCAACCTACCGTCACCTTTCGGAGTCTTTCCTTCCTCCCCCTCCCACCAACTATCGATTCCCCATGTCTCGGCTGTTCGTTGTCCACCAGTTGACCGGCTACCTGCTTGCGTGCCGTGCTCTCAGCTGCCGAGCCGAATGTTCGGCTGCCTGTTGAGCGCACCTGACCGGAAGCCTTGAACAGCTCAGCCCGGTGGGTTGGGGGACGGACTGCGCACTGAGGGTCCCTGGGTCTGTGGGCGGACAGGTGACGGGATGGATGGATGGCAGGTGATGGTCCATAGGGTGGGGTTGACGTACTGTAGTATACAGGCAGGGCGGATGAAGGAAATCGGGGGTTGGACATACAAACAGCCCGTTGGGATATGGAGGGACTGGGGAGGTATCTGTTTCCTTCGGGGGTGTGTAATGGTAGAGAAAGGTCGGTTTGTTTACGGGGAAGACGTGTGGAGTGGAGGTGGTTTGTTGCATCTCGCTTTGGCACAAGCTGGTTACAACCACGGGACTTGGCATGTCGTACTAACGAGGGGAAAAAGGAAAGAAGATGATTAGACGACACAGGCCTACTGGGAGGACGAGACAACGTTGTTGCCGAACGGTGATGGCTTGTTGAATAGGGGTACACGCGGAGTAGGCGAAAAGTCGTGAAGAGAGATAGGTTCCGGTTTCGTTTGCTGGTCCTTTAATGATCGGCTGCTGGGGGTGGGCATCGCGTGTCAAACGGGGTGGTCTATTTTGAGAGCCATATGGGGGTTGGGTGATCAGAAGGACAGACAGATAAGATGTAATTGACCTCTTCAGTTTGGCGTCCCTGGACTTGGAACGTTTGAAACCGCAGGCGTTCATGCTATGCAATTCCGTGGGGAAAACACTTTACCAGGTTGATCTGAAACAAGAACAAAAAGGGTACCGAGAAGAGGTCAGGTGAGCGAAAGTTATGCGGGCTGCTGCGCGATCCCGAATCTTGTCTCCGTCTGGCTAGTGCCGTGGGTTTGGTGGTGTTGAGCCCTGGACCTGAGTGACAGACCCGAAACAAATTCGCGGTTTCGGTTTCGGAGGGCGGTAACTGGGACTTCCGTCATCTGAACTTGTTATTATAGGAATATTCTCCCGAATTCGGATGCTGAACCGATCATTGACGCCGGGTGTCTTCTGTGAGCATATCCAACATTTCACCTGATAGTCAAATAAAGGGGGTGAGCTATCCCAAAATGCCTCGGCCGGGTCTGCGGCTTCATGGGCTATCCCTCGGCACTTCAGGAATAGGTTTAGGAGTGAATAACTAAGTAATGTGATGGGACCTTGATTGCCAGCCACGAATTAAATTTATTGAGATAAGCTGTGTCTGGGTTTGTGAGGATGTATTCTCGTGATCGTGAAGGATGCACGTTCGGATGGTTTGCGCGTCCGAGATACCACTGTAATTAGTGGGGCTTCAGTGGAGCTTGCGGCACAGGCCCCTGAGAGAGCTGCTGCTCAGGCGGCGCTCGGGGTGAGTTTGCTGTCCCAATCCCGTCACCGGATTGGTCGCGTGGACCCAATTCTCCCAAATGCCTGACCTGGAGGATCGCATTCCCATTGCGCCCTGAACGTTGGTCAACTTCGAGAGCCCCGCGATTTCCAACAAACAAACAGAGCCAACAGCCTCTGTAGCGGATGACGATCCTCAACCGGTTCAGCAGCCCATTAGCGCCATGTCTTCGACGGAAACACCAGCCGCAGCTCCTGAGAATGGAGTTGTAAACCAACCACCGGCGACGTCAGCGCCGTTGAACGAGGGGACCAAGACCCAAGTGCAAGATGTATTGACATCAGAGGTGCGCCCCTATCGCCGGCCGGGCGCTGAGTGCCCGCTGCCCCTCTCCACGCTTTCAATGTGCTGACTTTGCACCCTACAGATTGGCATCTCGGTGATGCTCAACCGCCTCAAGCAGAGCATCGCCTCCGCGAAGGTAAATAATCCATGTGACGCGCGAGGAATCCTTCCAAGGCGACAACCGCGACGACCGCTGACCCAATCGCACATAGGAATTTGCGCTTTTCCTCAAGAAGCGCTCGGTACTCGAAGACGAACACGCCAACTCCCTTAAGAAGCTATGCAAGACATCCCAGGACAACATGCTGCGGGGCGAGCACCGAGGCGGCACCTTTGGCCGCGCGTACGAGGAGATGATGGTGGTGCACGAGCGCATGGCCGACAATGGGATACAATTTGCCATGTCGCTGCAGACCATGGCCGAGGACCTGACCGAGCTGTCGCTGGTCGCTGAGAAGTCCAGGAAAGGGTGGAAACAGAGCGGCCTGGCCGCCGAGCAGCGCGTCGCGGACCTCGAGGCCGCCATGCGCAAGTCGAAATCGAAATACGATGCTCTCGCTGAGGAATACGACCGGGTCCGGACTGGGGACACCGCGGGCCGTCCCGGTGGAAAGATGTTTGGCTTCAAGGCACACAAATCGGGCGCTGGGTACGAGGAGGATCTTTTGCGCAAGGCCCAGGCCGCGGACCAGGATTACCAGGGGAAGGTCCAGGTGGCCGCGACGGAGAGGAGCGAGCTGGAGACTAAAACGAGGCCGGAAACGGTACAAGCCCTCCAAGATACCGTGCGGGAATGCGACTCCGCGTTGGCGTTGCAGATGCAGAAATTCGGTATGTGTTTTTCTGGGAAGCAGAAATTGTTCGATGACATACATCCTGACTAAGTGTGCAGCGTCGTTCAACGAGAAATTGGTGTTGAGCAATGGCCTCAATATCAGCCCCCTTAGGCAGGCGTCTGATACGCGGAGTTTGCGCGAGAGTGTCCTTGCCATCGACAACGAGAAGGATTTGAGTGAGTATCTCAGCGGCCAGCACGTCAGGTTACCGCCCAGGACAGGGCCGCCGAAATACGAACGTAATGCTGTATGTGTTCTCCGATTCTAAGTCACTTATCAGGGTAGATCTAACGTTCTTAGCTTCTTGATGCGTCGCGGCCGGCGGTCGCTTCTTCGCCAGTAACTGCTCACAACCCACAGCAACAACAGGCCCTCGGCGCTGTGCAGCCGCCGCCATCGGGCATCTTCCAAGGAGGGTCTCGTTCCAGTACCTTCTCAGACGCCACGGCCGCTCCGCCGAGCCAGGGGTCCGTCGGCCACAGCTACAATCAAAGCCTAGGCTCTATTCCTGTGCTCGGTGGCCCTCCTCAGTCTTCGTCGTCCCAGCACCAGCATGAGAGGAGCTTTAGTCACGGAAGCGGCTTGAACCAAGGCAATGGCCCTACTGGCCAACAACCGTACCGTGGCCCGAACGCGCCCCATCATCAAAGCCAACCGTCCGGGTCCCGCTTTGACGGCTCGTTCAACTCCACTACGTCTCAGGGGCCGCCACAGCTCGGCGCCTTATCTTTCCAGAGCCCCCAACCTCAGCAGTCGCAGCAACCGCCCTATTCGCAAGCATCAGCCCCGGAAACTACCGCTCCTTCAGCTGCGTTCCAACAACCGCCCAATATGATCGTGCCTCAGTCACACACGCCACCTGCAGGACAGCAAATGACCCCGCCGCGTCCTGTGTTTGGTATCACGCTCCCTCAGCTTTATGAGAGAGATGGACTGGCGGTTCCCATGGTGGTGTACCAGTGCATTCAGGCCGTGGACCTGTTTGGCTTGAATGTCGAGGGTATCTACCGGTTGTCTGGCTCGGTACAACACGTCAACAAACTCAAGAACTTGTTCGACACAGGTGAGACCTTGCTCTCTTTTTAGATAGCTTTACACGTAGTGTGGTGGACTTACTAACCGTTTCCCCCAGACTCTTCCTCCAGCAACCTCGACTTCCGCAACCCCGAAAACTTCTTCCACGACGTCAACAGCGTCGCCGGTCTCCTCAAGCAATTCTTCCGCGACCTGCCCGACCCCCTCCTAACGCGGGAGAACTACCTCGCCTTTGTCGAAGCAGCCAGTCAGCCCCCCCCTCCCACTTCTCC